AACAAATGATATTTCTCCCTGCTGGTGCAGGTGTGGAAAGAAAAGCATCTTGGAATATTTCCTAATGATAGCGAACACATCTATTAAAGCCTTGGTAAATCTTTCCAAAAAGCCATAAAAAGGTCAAAGTAATTCAAAAAATAAATAAATAAATAAAATAAAGAGGACACAAACAGATGGAGAAACATCCCATGCTTATGATCAGGAAGAATCAATATTGTGAAAATGGCCATACTCCTCAAAGTAATGTATACATTCAGTGCTATCCCCTTCAAACTACCAATGACTTTCTTCACAGTACTGGGAAAAAAAAAAAAAAAAAAACCACCTTAAACTTTATATGGAACCAAAAAAGGACCTGCATAGCCAAGACAATCCTAAGAAAAAAAAAAAAAAAACAAGCTGGAGGCATCATGCTACCTGACTTCAAACTATATTACGCGGCTACAGTAATCAAAATAGCATGGTACTGGTACCAAAACAGAGGCATAGACTAATGGAACAGAACAGAAGCGTCAGAAAGAATGCCACACAATTACAACCATCTGATTTTTGACAAACCTAACAAAAGCAATGGGGAAAGGACTCCATGTCTAATAAATGGTATTGGGAAGACTGGCTAGCCATATGCAGAAAGCTGAAACTGGATCCCTTCCTTACACCTTATACAAAAATGAACTCTAGATGGATTAAAGATTTAAACATGAGGCCTAACAACCATAAAAACTGTAGATGAAAACCTAGGCAATATCATTCAGGACACAGACATGGGCAAGGACTTTATGACTAAAACACCAAAAGCAATGACAACAAAAGCCAAAATAGATGGATGGGATCTAATTAAACTTAAGAGCTTCTGCACAGCAAAAGAGAGTATCAATAGAGTGAACAGGCAACCAACAGAATGGAAAAAAATTTTGCAATCTACCCATCTGACAAAGGGCTACTGTCCAGAATCTATGGAGAACTTAAACAAATTCACAAGAAAAAAACAAACAACCCCATCAAAAAGTGGGCAAAGGATATAAACAGACACTTTCCAAAAGACATTTATGCAACCAACAAATATATGAAACAAAGCTCATCATCACTGGTCATTAGAGAAATGCAAATCAAAACCACATTGAGATATCACCTCACACCAGTTAGAATGGCATTCATTAAAAAATCAGGAGACAGCAGAAGCTGGAGAGGATGTGGAGAAATAGGAACGCTTTTACACTGTTGGTGGGAGTATAAATTAGTTCAACCATTGTGGAAGACAGTGTGGCGATTCCTCAAGGACCTAGAAATAGAAGTACCATTTGACCCAGCAATCCCATTACTGGGTATATACCCAAAGGATTATAAATCATCCTATTATAAAGACACATGCACATGTATGTTTATTGTGGCACTGTTCACAATAGCAGTCTTGGAAGCAACCCAAATGCCCATCATTTATAGACTGGATAAAGAAAATGTGGCACATATACACTGTGGAATACTATGCAGCCATAAAAAAGATGAGTTCATGTCCTTTGCAGGGACATAGATGAAACTGGAAACCACCATTCTCAGCAAACTAACACAAGAACAGGAAACCAAACACCATATGTTCTCACTCATAAGTGAGTGTTGAAAAATAAGAACACATGAACACAGGTAGGGGAACATTACACACCAGGGTCTGGAGGGGTGGGGGTCTAGGGGAGGAATAGCAGGGGGTCAGGGGATTGAGGAGGGATAGCATTAGGAGAAATATCTAATGCAGATGACGGGGCAATGGATGCAGCAAACCACCACCATGGCACAAGTATACCTATGTAACAAACCTGCACAATCTGCACATGTACCCCAGAACTTAAAGTATAATAATAAAAAAATTATAAAAGAAAATTTGCTTCTAGAAATCTCTTATTTCTAAGAAAATAATCATGAATACAGATAAAAATTTATGTACAAAAGTATTCACTACAGTATTATACTTGTAAAAATATGAAAAAAATCCCAAGCTAAGGCAATCATGAACTAATGAAATACATGTAATTTCAAGTTGTCATATATTTAAATGAATTATTTTACTTAAAAGAATAATAAGTGGGAAAAAAGCCAACAAAGAGTAGATTCTTCTTAAAATCATGTTTAAAATTATTACCATTCAGATATATTTCCAAGACTGAAAGGAAACACATCAAAATGTTAATATTGGTAATAGGATTACCAATGGTCTTTCTCTTTACTTTTGATTTTTATGTGCTTTCTGATTTTCTACAATGAATATTACTTTAATCAGAAAAAGTATAAACAAAAATAATTTTTGAAAAAATGTAATATGAAAGGGAAAATACATGTAAGACTTTTTATATTATTCTAATAAGGTAGTTTTATTAGAAAACATGTCATTTCTAAAGGAATGTACTATACCAGTTTATTATACCCTGAAGTATGATGCTGAATTCTGATATCATGTGTATTGTCCCAAATGCCCTCAATTCCACAAAGCACTAAAAATTATGGAAGTAATAATTGGGAGCAAACTTGACAATCCTGGTTAACCATATTAATTATAAAGCTTTCAAAGTGTTGGCACACCGTGTCTTCTGTTGAATTGATTCTTGCAGCACTTGCAAGGTAAGCAGATCATATATTAATGCTTTCCCTATTCAAAAGGGTTGAATGGCTCACTCAAGTTCACTCACAGCTTCTATATACAGAATTTGGACTCTAATTCAAATCTTTAGATCTAAATTCCATAGAATATCGTAGGTCGAGAGACTGTTTTTTTTTGTTGACTTGTTTTACTATTTCTCTTTCTCTGTCTCATCCCTACTATTACTTAGTTGTATGCAAAGCAGTTAGACTAGTGCTTGGGACACAGCCCACAGGTGTATAAGTATTCATTGAATAAATAACAGTGGGACTTTTCATACTGATTTGAAGGAAATACGCCTCTGGATCTCCTTTATGAAGAAGCTGTGTTCATTTTCCTTGACAAAAAAAAATAATAATCTAATAATTAGTTTCACTTATAGGTGAAAAACAGGATTATTCTACTCATAATAGTAGAGACTCACACACCCCTCACTTCATTACTGTTAGTCACGCTGCTGAAAGCCAAACATAAGCCCGGTACTGACTGGCTGTGCACAGGGCACATTCTGCAATCCCATGTACTTTGTGCTAGCACCACTGCAGCAGGTCTTCAAAATTGGCTCTGTCACTTTAAATATAATAGACAATAAATCATCCCTCTGAGACAGCCCCTAAGGAAAACAGGGGAAAAAAATAGAAATAGCATTTAAAAGCCCTTTTTCTATTACAGTGCCTCTAGGGAGCTTTTAAAATTGGAGCTCTTTTGAAGTGAATTTTATGCTTTTTTGGGGCTTTTTAAAATGCTTCTAGAATTAACCTTGCAATTCTAGGACCAAATCTTTCATTAGATCCTTTAATTTGAGGGTCTTTATTATGCTAGTATTACCATATTTACTCATCTTCTCTGTGCTGATTTCCCCGGTATACCGTAACCAGTCAACCCGTTTTCTCATGCTGTATGTAACTTCTTTATTTCTCGTTCCGCCCTTTCCATTTTTATGCCAGTATTTCTTGCTTGGTCTTTCTTTTTTTCCTTCATCAAATCTAGTTTTAGTTACTTCTCCTCTGAGATACCCTTTGTTCTTTTGCACCTTGGATGCAGATAATCCTAATTAGGCTACATGAAGATAATCCAGAATTTTCCACTTTCCTGCTCCTATAGCAGAATTTTCTTAGACACAGCTGAACTACATCTGCCTCTTTTTCATAAGCCTTCCCTTCTCTTGTTCTTGTGGCTGTTTCCAGTTGATAAGAGAAAAACACCAAAATAGCAAAAAAAGTTACTTTAGTCTGAAAAAAATCTTAATCAAATCCTGAAAAAAATAAATGGTAGATGTAAACATATAAAGCACAGATTATACCAAGGGTCAGGGTTTACATTAAGAAGGGGAAATTCAAATCACAGCCTGACTCTCATGTAACCAGTATTCAGCTACGATCATTTAAGTCATATAGCATTATGTGGTCCAATAAACCAGTTATGGCTCAATGGCCTTTATTATTCTCACAAATTAAAAATCTATACTGAACAAAACACAGTTCATCTTAATATTGAAAAACATGCACACTCAAGGTAAATAACAGGACAGCAGCAACTGCCTTTTGACACCGTCCTACATGTCTTCTTAGACCCCCTGCTCTGTGAAGGAAGGGAGGAGAAATTCAACTTGATATTGAGCTGGTGTCTTTTGATAAATTGGGAAGGCCAAAGTATGAAGCAAAAAGCAGGGAGAAAAGATTATTCTGACACCTTTTAGATTTATAGACTTCCCAGTCTACTTAATGGCCATTCATCTCACCTGGCCTGCCGCGGTCGCTCCAGCCACCCTCTGGGTGAGTGCTTATTACCAACAAGGCAGCAATCAAATTACTGTAGGGAATTTACTGAGTGAGATAAATAAAAGCTGCCCAAATCCGTGATTCTCAGTGCTTTTTCTGGAACATAAGTCTCATAAGAAGCTCTAGGGCCGGGCGCGGTGGCTCACGCCTATAATCCCAGCACTTTGGGAGGCCGAGGCGGGTGGATCACGAGGTCAAGAGATCGAGACCATCCTGGTTAACATGGTGAAACCCCCATCTCTACTAAAAAAAATACAAAAATTAGCTGGGCATGGTGGCACGCGCCTGTAGTCCCAGCTAGTCGGGAGGCTGAGTCAGGAGAATTGCTTGAACCCAGGAGGCGGAAGTTGCAGTGAACCGAGATCATGCCATTGCACTCCAGCCTGGGTAACAAGAGGGAAACTCCGTCTCAAAAAAAAAAAAAGCTCTAAAAATGCCCCATAGACACGTTAATGTTGTCAACACTACATACCCTAACCCCTCCGCAGAGTACTGAGAAGTGTATTAGCATAGTAAAGCCACTGATGAAAGAAAGCTGTCTGGCTTTGTTTCACCCACCATGTGAATGGGACCTGCTGTTTTACCTTTTTTATTACAAAGAGAGGGGTTCTGGCTATGTTGCCTAGCTGGAATGCAGTGGCTATTCACAGGAGCAATTCGCAATCATAGTGTGTGCACTACAGCCTTGAACTCCTGGGTTCAAGTGAGCCTCCTGCCTCAGCATTCTTAAGTAAAACTTACAAAAATTCTTTGGAAACCTTGTAAGGGCCTAGAGTAGGTACATGCCTAAAAGAAGGTCTGGGTCAACTATCTAAGATAATGATGATTGTTAAATGAAATGATTAGATGAAGAAAAATAGGAAGGAACATAGCAGGTCTGTATTGATGATTTCCACCACTAAAGGAGAGAAAGGTACCAGCAGATCACAGTCATTAAAAATGACCCATCAGTGGACAGCAAATTACATACTTGGGAACCAATGCTGGAAAAAAATCAAAGAGGTGGAGGTCATGTTTTATTTCACTTGTAGCGCTTTTCAAATTCAGTCCTAACCAAACCTGATTAAAGTAAATCCCTTTTTTACAGGCTGTGGAGTCTATAAGATTATGGTGTTAATGGAAGTGCTATTCGATCCGTCAGTAATGGTGCATGTCGGGACCCTGGCGCCTCTGACAAGTCCATTTTTTAAGACGTATTTATTGTTTTTTTTTTTTTTTTCTACTTTCTGTTCTCTGCATTGCGGGGTTTAATTGAACAGTTTAAAGTGATTCTTCTTCAAGGCCCATTAATTGATTTTATTTGTGTATTCTCTGGGGGTCAAGGAAAAGGGGGAAAAACAATACAATTGCAGCTCTGGTTTTCACTGTCATATTCTCCCTGGAAATTCATAGCTCTGAATTTCATTTCTTTTCTCTGCCTCAAGAGGCCTTTTTATGATTTTTGCAAGGTGCAATTTTTTTTGTTTTATATTACTGATTTAGTCAATTCTGATAGCATCTCGTCATTAAGGAAATAATAAAATGTGCCCAAACTGACCAACCATGTAGTATCTAGGGGTTCCTCATGATAAACCCACTGAAGAGGAAATATTTTGGTGAAACAGTCGTGAAATCTTACATTCTCACAACAAAGCACCATAGCATTTCTTTCTATCATAATAGGACAAAGTTTCTTAAGGTTTGATATTGCGACATGCCCACACGTATATAAACACAGAGTGTTCATATTTACTCATGTAACCCAGCATTGTCCCTGAATGGTCTTATGTCTGTTGAGTAAGAATGAAGATGCTACATGGATTGCAAAACAGTATATTCAGGAGGAGGAAACTGTAGATTGAAACTGAGATTCTGCCAAAGACAAAAGCTATACATATGTGTGTACCTACATCATGGCATCACACCTCAAGAGACTCTGTCCTGTCATGTCATAGTGTCCTATGATGTCACATTATTATGTCACACAATATAATTTAGACCATTTCTTAATGCTTGTTTCTATCAGTAAGTGGCTAATTCTCACACTGAACTTATGAAGCAGGTATTACTATTAACATTGCATTGTCAAGGTCTGACACTCACTTGTGAAGTAATCTTCCAAAGACATAGATGAGGTTTAAATATGAGTCTGATGTACTCCAATGCCTCCACTTTTCTGTTCCTTGGATATACTGTTGCCTTGGAGACTTAGTTTGCAATGACTTCTATTTCACTAAAGATGAAAATATAATAAAGTCATTTAAAGGTGGATAATTTTTTTTCCTACCTCTGCCTCCCCAGAGTAGGCCCCAAACAAATACAAGTTGAATGATGGAATAAGATCCCTGCCTCATTGCTATCACACCACTTCCTCCTTAAGCTTCACTCTAAGACCAGTCCTTTGTGAGCGTTGTGGTAACAAAGCTAGGGTAAAAGATGAGAACAGGGCAGGGACATAAACACCAAGCTGGATTATATTCTATGGTGGACAAGCTACCTCTAGCCTCTTGGTTATCTCTTTGTTCCTTTTTATGCCATAACCTTTTCTTCATTCATTTCTTGTTCGTTTTTCTAATTCTCTCCATGAAGTCCCCAATGACACTTAAAGCTCAGGTCTTTCATTGAAATGCAGGTCAAATTTATCTTCAGCATACACTAGTAAAAATATGCTACTCACTTCTGGTTCCCAATTATCTTCCTCTGAATGTTTTAAGAGAGATTGAAAGTTTAAAGTTAATATTGAGATTGAAAGAAAAAGCAGCAGGGGGACGGGAGGGATCATATAGAAGGAAGTATTCTTTGCTTGCCTGATTTACTGTAATCGATAGCTGAGAGGAAAAAGCAACAAGTTTGAAATTTACTTCCAGCAGTTCAACAGAACAACGTCAAGTACAAGACACATATATTTAAGAATGTGTCAGTAAACTGAAAACATCACAAAGGCAACCTTCTCGTGGAAGAGGTGCACTCTCTGCACACTACAGTCACACAGTTCAGAGGAAACACTCTCTATCTCACAGCTCTGCACCTCTATGTCCCTCTTATCTTCCCTCAACTTCAGACAGCCAGCTTCCTGGACCCCCTTTACCTTCACTCACCTTTCACAACTTTCGCTGGTTTTGTGAGACAGTTCAATTATCACTTCCAGGATTGCGTCTGTTTCCTGATAGATTTAACAGTAAAATCCTTCAAAAGGCCAGGAAGAACGAATGGTGCTGAGGAGAGGTGTCTGAAGCCAGGTATAGTGAATAGGAATATTTGGAAGGAATGGGTACAAAATCCTCAACTAGTGGTCGCAGGTGGTGACAATGACAAAGGAAATAAAAACATGTTAACTTTTTGGATATTACTCCAAGAAAAGTGAACACGTTTGCAAACATGACCTTTCTCTAAGCAACAGACACACTTGTGTACAAAAAGACCCACACTCTTCCCCACGCTGAGATATGTGACCTCCTCTGGGTTCCCAGAACATGCAAATCACTATATCAAAATACGTGTCATATACTACCATAATCTTAGGTTTGCATGGATCTCCCCTCAAAACTGAATCAAGTCACGTTCATCTCTATCTCTAGTTTCTCCCTCAGTACCAGCCTACAGGAGATGCTCAATAACTATTTCCTAGCATACATGAAAGAATGAATAAGAAGGAATTTTCTTGTAAGTACTTCTAAAAATTGTGATGTAATTACAAATTTTGGAGATAGCAGGGCAAAAACAAAGTGGGGCCAAATGACTGCTCCAGAAAAAAAGACAGGAATAAATTTTGAATTTTGCATTTTTAAGGTTAAAAACAGCTCTTAACTGGCCAGAAAAAGTTTTGTGTAAAACAATTTTTTCAAATTTCAAAAAAACATGTTTATGAAAGAGCTTTAGAATGCAACCAACACTATTCACGATCAAACATCTATCAATATAGAGGGTGTGAGTACAGGAACAAACAGAAATAAATATTCATCTCCATGGGTATCCCTAAGAACCCTTAGCCCAGATAATTAGCTTGTGAGTTATTCACTCCTGGAATTGCCTGTTTTCAATTGTTCTCTGCTTAAGACAACCATGTTGTGAGTATATGTGTTTATAGTGAGGTACAGGGAAAGGTAATACGGTGTCCTCAAAAGCCCATGTACAAGATGGTCATATTTTACTTGGAAGGATGTGCATATTGAACTACTACACTCCTCTCATTAAGATATTAGCACAAGGTAGCTTGTTAATGTTCATCAGAATGATTGTCAGGTGGTTGCAGAGTAGAGGATTCTTTCCAGTATGAGGGAATCTAGAAATTGCAGTCCTCCATTTCTGACACTGCTTACAAACAAACTTTGAATCAGAGAAGACAGTTGTAAAGGGAGGTGATGCTCTTCTTTTCACAACCATCTGTCTTTATTTTTATTCTTCTATTTTCTCCCGAGATATCAACATCAAAGTAGGATATAACCTTCCCGGAAGCAATCTAACTCCAGGGAAACACATCAGGCACAGAAAAAAATATAACCAAATTCATTTTTACATAAGAATAGCGGTTGTAGGTGGCATGACTTTGGTCTGATTTTATGATTAGTGGAAACTGAGGCCTTCTCTATTGTTAACAGAGTACATAATCTCTTCAGGCTAGGTCTTCACTGACAAATAATTGGGATAACAAGCATTTTAACTGCATTTATGAGTAATCTCAGTGAATACAGTCTTCTTTCTGTCTTGTACTTAATATCCTTAAATGATCAAATTTGTAAGCAGGTTGAGCATCTACACTTATTCCTCCAAATTAAGGACTTATCAGCTGCTCATTAACATCTGTATGGATATTGCCTAAATTTGTTCTAAAACTGTGTGAGCGTACACTTTGATCAACTGACTTTATTCTAGCTCTCTATTAAATAATTTCAACACAACCTTGATCTATCTAATCCAACAAAACCAAAGGCAACTTCTTAGTACTTTCTGCCATGTAAAAATACATAGTAGTCTTTCAAGCTAATATATTGTTATAAATCATACATGCACAAACTCAGCAGTGTTAAGCTTCCTTAATAATAGACTAGGTGCTATAGAACCTGTATACCACCTTCTTTTTTTTTTTTTTTTTGAGACGGAGTTTCGCTCTTGTTGCCCAGGCTGGAGTGCAATGGCGCGATCTCGGCTCACCGCAACCTCCACCTCCTGGGTTCAGGCAATTCTCCTGCCTCAGCCTCCTGAGTAGCTGGGATTACAGGCATGCTCCACCACGCCCAACTGATTTTTTGTATTTTTAGTAGATACGGGGTTTCACCATGTTGACCAGGATGGTCTTGATCTCTTGACCTCGTGATCCACCCGCCTCAGCCTCCCAAAGTGTTGGGATTACAGGCGTGAGCCACCGCGCCCGGCCATACCACCTTCAATCTGCTGCTCTAAGCAAAAGTCAGGCTGCGTCACTAGTAGTTAAATCAATATCAGCTGCATTAATAAGGGTAAAATGAATAAGTGTGCCTGGATTTTTCTCCCTTGATCACTTTAGGTCCAAATTTCTCTTATTTTAGCTTTAGTCTTGAATGATTGTCAAAGATGTGCATTGGCCTCTGAGATAGCCGCTATCTAGCTAACATGTATGGAGCCAGGTCGGAAGAAATTGCCCAACAGATTTGCAGGGCTTGTCGGGGCCTGGAAATGGTGGAAGTCAGATGATTATATTTGCATTGTATAATTGGCGGAGCCTGTCACAACACTGCTGGAGCCAGCAGCTGCTCTCTGCTGAAAACTAATTCCACCTGATCTATTTAATATTATAATGAATTTAATCCTCTCTACATTCAACCAGGAGCCAAAGAGCACAGTTTATGGCTAAACCTGCATTTGCAGACAGATGACAAGAGATCCCTCTGGTGGTAGGAATTAATGTGGGGAAGTATGCTGACAGAATTGCCCACTCATTTATTTCGGTTGAGATTTTTTTTCCTCTTCCAGAGAGCAGGCTTCAGTAGGGTCTGAATTTTCCCTTCTCTCCTTAAGAAGAACTCTTGGAAGTCAGAAATGAACTTAGATATTGTTTAGAGCTGAAGTGTGCTCCTCCCCACTCACCCACTCAAATTCATCTGTTGAAGCCTAAACACATGTATGTGTTTAGTTCCTCAGAATGTGACTATCTTTAGAGATAGGGCCTTCAAAGAGGTGATTAAATTAAAATGAGGCTATTAGGGTGGGTCTTAATCAACCCGACTGGTGTCCTTATACAACGAGGACACACTTAGAGATATGAGTCATGCATGCACAGTGGAAGAACCACGTGAGGACACAGCAGCCGTCAGCAAGCTGGAGAGTCTTCAGAAGAAACCAAACCTGCCAACACCTTTATCTTGGGCTTTCAGTCTCCTGAACTGTGAGAAAAAAAATTTTCAATGGCATAAGCCACCTAGCCTGAGTGGTATTTTGTTATGGCAGCCTACCAAATTAATGCAGATATTATCTACTGTAACCCAATGTAAGTTTCTCCTCTACAGAATACCATGATTTTTTGCCAGAGGAATAAGAAGATAAACATCTCTCTGATACAAGGCAACTTGTTGCATTAAAAGAAGATCATTTTATCAGAAACTTCAGTGTGCTGAGGCGGGATGTTCTTCCTTATGACAGCCACCTTACTGTCCCACTTCTGTACTCTGGTTCCAAACAAAATAGGATGTCTTATGGGGCAGCCCTTTAATTAGAAAAAGGCAGCCATTGTATGTCCATCCTCCTTTTCTAAACCTCGTTTTAGTTAAACCTTTCTTGATGCCTTCAGATGCTCCCTATATACCGTTGTTCTGAGTGCATTTATCATGTTTGTTTTGCTTTGAACCCTTTCTACTGGCAATTGTTTTTATTAAAATGAGATATAGCTCAAGTCACTAACTCTGATGTTATCCAGCACTGCAACATGCTTTAGGACTGTTAGCTCTCTTGCTTTCACTACCATATTTTAGGATTCTCTCCATGAAGCAAGAATAAAACAAGATGATCTTTAAACCCTGGTAATGGAATGAGCATGAGGTAAGATCTTGAGGGTACCATGAAACCTTTCACATGTGACACAAGGGAATTGAGACTTACTGATGGATTTTCTATCAGCTGAGTATTTTGGAAGACATTATTTCTAAAGGTTGTTAAGAAATGTTCTCAGTATTATATTTGATTTTACTGGCATATATATTTTGGAATAATATACAGCCAGATTCAAGCTGCTTTACTCATATGTATTCATATAACTGTAAAAATATAACTGTATTAGGCATTTTCCCCTCAAATACTTAAAAATCCTAAAATGCATAAAACAAAAACCTGAGTATAATAATTGTATCTCCAGGAGTGAAGAAGTTTCCATAGAACACTGAAGATAGAGATTTCCGTAAATATCCATTAAACTTAAATATGCCACTCAATTGAGTCTGCAATTTGTAACCTAGGAGAAAATGGCCAGAAATGATGAAGCCCCGGGGTATTAGTACATGAACACAGTTACAAAAATAGAAGAAAACAGTGTATATTTTTGGTTTCTATTTACGTATTGTAAGGCAATATCTAACTTCAAAGTTTTCATGCTTGCCCAATAGCTGTTGAAAACAGGACATAATTAAAAGCCTTTCCCCCTAAACACCATGACTATTTAAAATGTGGAATGCAAGACCCAGTTGACATGGAAACAGGATACAGGTATACTGCAGTCTGTCATATTGACTCTCTACAGTTTTCCTACTATATAAACATATCAAAATTACCTGGAGGCTGAGGCAGAACTACAAAAATGTTTTGCACATGCAAGAGAATTTGAGCGCTAGCCTACGGGCAGCGTAATTAACAGAAACATTAGTTATTTCAGTTACTGGAAAAGAGGCGACCCATGTCTTAGCATTCCATAGCACTTACTTTCCCCCCTCTACTTTAAGAACAATCTCTCTAGAGAATTATCCCTGGTATAGCTGAACACTTTCTTAGAAATTTAGTAACAATATGACAATGTCTTTCAAATTCCATCCTAAAGAGAAAGGTCTACTTTTTTTTTAATGACTACAGAATGGCCTCCTCTTAACCCCAAATTATTTTGCATTTAGCATTTTAGCTGCCAGAAGGTACTGTCAAAAAAGACAGACCACTTAATGGGAAAGAAAAGTTAATGAACTAACAAGGGAACAATAATTATTCAACAAATCAAGGAAAAGATGGAACGGTTTCCAAGGGGGAAATAGATGTATCAAAATATTTTTGCCAGAAACTCAAAGCAATGTGTTTTAAAGACTGAAATTTGGTGGTGGTGGGGGTAATGATGTAAGGGTTGATTAGTGCATTACTACCAACAATCTCAGAACAATTATACAACATTGTTTTTTCGAGTAGAGAAGAAGCAATAGGAAAAGAAAGACAAGAAGGACCAGTTTCTTTTATTAGGTGAATGGCATTTATGTCATGTGGTATTAGATAATGCACTAATTAAATCACTAACTTAAAAAGTATCCTCAAAAACAGTTACATAGATTCATATACACATTGATCAATTTAATAAAGATAACGCCAGTGATTGGGAGACCATCGTGTGGGCTTTTTGGAAGGAAGCATGTATGCTTCCACAACACCTGTCACATAGCTCAAATGCAGTGTTGGCGTATTTGCAACAAAATTAGAATGATTTAACCTTCATTAACCCCTTCCTGTGTTTATGAAAGTAGAGAGTAACCAACAAAATTCTGGAGGAAGTGTGGGTCCTTGACTTTAGATTTGATGGAATTTTTCTGCGTAGACCAAATACTATTGTGTCATCCTTCCATGCTATCAGGCTTTCTGCCCAGGATTCCATTTATTTGGAGAGTGTGAACCTGAAGTCAAGGGTGCCTCATGTTCCAGTGTTTTCAGTAGAAAAATAAGATGAACTTATTGAGAAATAAGTTCTCATCTTTCATCAATTGCGAAATTTTTCATATATATAAAAATGAACAGTCTAGGATTTATGGGGCAAATAAATATTGTGTCAGAACAGCTGGCAAGCGTGAGTAAGAGCACAAATCGCTGGTATGTTATCTGAAACCTCCCACACACATACTGTGAGCTGCAACTCAATAAGTGGATGATTACAGAGGTTATGGGAAAAGTAGAAATAAATACAGTGAAGTTTAAAGAACACCTGGTATGAAAGATAACTTGGTTTCCAACAGATACCTCAGTTTCATGGGAGGCATTTTAGAGTGATGGGTAAGAGGGCAGGCTCTAAATTGGTGTAATTTCATATATACCAATTATGAGCTGTGGGACTGTACCAAGTCACTAAACCACTTTAAGCTTCAGTTTATTTATATAAAATGTTTATAATGTTGCCTGCCTTGTACGGTTATAGAGAGAGATAAATCACTCCACCTAAATCACTTATCACAGTTCTTAACACATGATATGTATTTAATAAATGTTATTACTATTAATAATACTCATGGTTTGGCACCTTCTAATTTGTGATGCCACTATTTCCACATCCAAAATATCACCTATTTCAATTGAAGGAGGAATAGCAGTAGTTACTTAAGTTGGTGCCCTTGAGGAACGATTATAGAAGATACAATGGTTTGAGATGTTTTACGCTCTAAATGAAAATATTTCTTTGCAAAAAGATGATCATGTTCATGAAATGGTTTAAATATTGCCTTATTTCCAGGAACAAATAAGTAGAAATTACATATAAAACATATGTTTACATATAAAACATATACATGATATGACTATTATACACACGAAATGGGATACTTGAGCTAATGTGTTTTTGGTTTCATTAGCCTTTAAGTATGGTTTCACTAGAGTCATGCTTTGTCCCGGGTCTGTGTGAAAATTGCATTACTGACTTACACTTTTAGAAACAGAGAAAAGTTTACGTTAGGAAATTATAAATTAAATCACTAACCAAAAAAGTGTCCTTAAAAACAATTACATAGATTCATAGACACCTTGATCAACTTAATAAAGCATATTAAGAAAACCACATCTAGTGATCTAGTTGCAGTCAGCAGTTGAAAGCTCCATGAGTTCAGTGTACATGCCTGTATTGCTTACCACTAATGCCTAGGACACAGCCTGGCACATATGAGATGGGAGAGTTCCTTGACACTCCCTTCCAGGACTTGGTACAGGGATGGGTTGTTTACATGGCAGCTGTGCTCAAAGCCCTTGTGGAAAAGGGAGCATGCAGGTAAGAAGGTGCAGTAGATGGGGCAAGTGCCTTCGGGCACCAGCTGGAACACACTCCGTACTGGCCAGTAGCGGTTATCTGAGACCTCTGGAGCACCAGAGAGCATGTATTACAATCAGTGCTCTTTTAGCATTTACCAAGCTTCGAAAGCTAAGTGTTAAAACAGCTCAGTAGAGAGTCTGGGACAGCCTCTTGCAACTGCACCCAGATCCTTGTCTGGTGCCCAAGAGGAATGAGGTCATACAGACTTGAAGGATGATGAATGCAGAGGTTGTACTGAGTTGTGAAAGTGGCTCTCAGTAGGATAGGGATTTGGAGAGGGGATAGAGTGGGAAGATAATCTTCCCCTTGAGTTTGGCTGTCCCTGGCTGAACACCTCTCTGACCATAGTCTCCTATGTCCAGCTGCCTCTTCTCCTCTTGACATTCAGATGCTTCTTCTTCTCTTTCCTTCTCTGCTGAACCACGCTGCTCCTCTGCCAGTGGAGCCTGGGGTTTATATGGGCACAGGAAAGGGGGCATGGTGGGCCAAAAGGTAACATTCAGGTGGGAAAACAGGGATGTAAAGTTCTCACTTAGGGCTTCAGGTCCAGGTTTGAGGGTGGAACCCTTGCCAGGGACCCCACCCATTTTTACCTAGTATTTCCCTGCCTCCTGTCCATATCAATAGTAAATGCTAAATAATAACTGATAAACCAATTCTCTCTTTATTTCTTCTCTATTTGTATGAAATATTTAGTTTCCGTTTCATCATACTTAGGATGTGCTCTACAAATTTTAGTTCTGCTTTAATGAAACACCTTATGCTAGACACTTTAAAAGAACCATCCTTAATCTATTTTTACAGATGAAGAAATTAAAGCTCAAACATATAAGAGTTAGTTGAATACAAGGCTGGACAGCTAGGAAGAGATAGAACCAGGTGTGAATCTTCACATGACAATCTCTACTCACTGCCCCATGACACTTTCCAATTCATTCATGCTTTAGCTCCTCTGTGCCTAGATGTGTGATATGAGTTAATGTGAGCATGATAATTTCTTCTATATTTTCCTCATGAGAATTAGTTATGCATCAGGGAGCACTGTTTCCTCTATCCTCCCTATAAAATAAAGATTCATGCAAGATGTAGCAAGGATAATTCCTATTTAACCAAATAAGTGTATTATATTCAATAAGTTG